TTTTTTTTTTTTTTTTTTTTTTTTACTAGGAGTTGGGATTGGATGAGAAGAGAGATTTGGGAAAAAATGATTTCAGGGATTAGCTATAAGAATTAGTGTTCATTGAGAATCCTGGGCCTCCTTTCATGGTAAAATTGAGTGAGGCAAGTTGAACTGTTTAGCGTTGTCTGATTCTTTGACAGTTCCCCCGCCATGGAAAGTTAAAACTTGAGGGATTTCCAAATATCCCAAGCCTTAGAAATCTACTGCTTGTCCTGATTACCTGTCTCCAATTTCCTTTTCCTCAGTCTGTCCCAGAAACAAACCCATGCTAGAAAGTGTTGTAGGAAATGTGAATCTTCAGTGTAAAGCTGGGCCCATGTTGCTTGAATGGGAAGATGTGAAGAGTGGATTTAGGAGAACATTCTCTCTGTGGAGAGCCTGGGCTCCAGCCAAGAGCTCTCTCCTAAATTCTCTCTCTGCATCAAGTCGAAAAAAACACCAGATGTTTACTTTGATGTTCTTTTTCCAATGTGCTAAATTTTCAGGCCCCGCTTGCTGGGGACATCATTCTCTGGGCCCCAGATGGCTCAGCTGGGCCAGAGGTTCTACCACATAGGGTGAAACAGCAAACAACCTGCAGTAATCCCAAGTCAGAGAGCAAGCCAGTTGTTAGGACTCATTTAAACTTTCTCCAAGACTAACTCTTCATTACTTTTATGGGTTAAGGGTCACCGTGAAGTTTCTTCTCCTTCGATAGTATCAGCATTTTTTGTGATTGTTGCTTTTGTAAGTGAGCAATAGAACAAACACACGAAATATTTTGATAAGCAGGGCAATCGTGCTGTTCATATCTTTCAGGACGCAAAGAACTCCTGGTGATTCAAGTTTTTGGCACTGAGGGAGATGCTTAGCAGACAAGATCATGCCCCTAACTTTTTTCTTTGTGGACTCAAGGGTAATGCAAGTAAGTTCACAAAGATGTTGTTACTCAGCTGGAATTGACTATCCATTTCCTGCACTAACTTTTCATATCAGAAGGCAGAATTAACTCTCAACCTTGTGATTTCTATTTCCTAGAAAAAAGTTAAGAAGAATGAGCAAACAGATAGCCATGGGTTTAAGGGAAAATTCCCTAAACAAAATGTGTCTGAAATCTATGCCCCACCCTGCTTACCATTTCCCTAGGACAGTCAACCACTAGCTTTTACTGAAGTTCCTACTTTGGCCTTCTTTTCTTTTCTTTTGTACTGGGGTTTAAAACCAGGCTCTTTGCACTGAGCTGCATCCTTTTTATTTTATTTGTTTTTTAAATTTTTGAGATGAGATCTTGCTAAGTTGCACCATTGCTTCGGCTTGGCTCAAACTTGCCATCCTCCTGCCTCAGCCTCCCAGGGTGCTGTAAGATCTGCACCACCACACTCAGCTGCAATGGCCTCTTAAGTCTGCAGGAGTCAATGCTTTCAGAACCCTTGTTTCCATTCTGTAAATACAATAGCCAGGGTGCTTTACAAAAGTGTAAATTAAATCAAAGCACTCCTCTGACTAAAACACAGTAACTTCCCCTGGGTTTAGGGTAAGCCCCACATTCTTCTGCGTGTCTCCCACTTGTCTCCTGCTTGTCCCTCCAGGATTAACCCATGATCCCTTAGCAGCACTAGACTTCCAGCCTTTAAAAGTACTCTTTCAAGCTCAAGGCTTTTGTACAAATCCTCTTCACCCACTTCCTTTCCACTGACTCTTCTCCTATTCTTTAACCTAAAGTTTTTGTTTATTTGTTTGTTTGGGTTTTGTTGTTGTTGTTGTTTTGTTGTGTTTTTTGAGACAGGGTCTCACTATGTAGCCCAGGCTGATGGCTATCCTCCTGCCTCAGCCTCCCAAGTGATGGGATTACAGGCCAGGCATGAGTCACCAAGCCTGGACTTCACCAAATTTAAATATCACTTTTTATGGGAGAACTTCCTTGACTATCCTCGTTAAAAGATAATTCTTGTTCATGTTGTTCATCTCTACTTTAGTCTTGTTCATAGATTTTTTTCATTTGTTACTATTTATTACGTACTTTGGGTTTTTTTTTTCTGATATATTTTCTGCTTCCCATACTTGAATATAGCAGGATAAACAATGTTTTTCTTTTTCATGATTGTATCCCTTGCGTGTAGCACATGCAATGCAAGTAGCACAAAGTTAGGGACTCAACACATACTGGTTAGATGAGGGTCTTTCAGCACATTATGATCACATTCCTTCACAGGCTCCTCCATTCCCTTACTACTACCTCACTCAACTCCACCCCAGCTCAAACTAACCCCACCCCGCTCCTACAAAAGAAGCTCCCAATCCTGCCATGTTGCTCTCTCTCTCCTTTGTTCAGAGACGGCTGGACAGATCCTCTCCATAATAAAGGCTTGTGATGGTCCTGGTCTTGTCCTGGTTTTCGGTTCTATTTATCTAACAGTGGGGAGTTGGTTCATGCACATTAGCACATCTTAATTCTTTTTACATCCCCTGCCCCTTCCCAAAACCACTTTCTTCTGTTGGGAGTTTTAAACACAGCTACACTTTCCATGAAGTAGCCTGCTTCGAAGGTTTTAATTGTTTTAAACTCTGTATTACATGCTGATCTGTCATGATCAACTATTTATAAATTTCTTTGAGCTTTTTTTCCTCATCCAGTTTCTTAGGTGTTGTTATCTTGTCTTTTGTGAATTCCAGGAATGTGACTGAGTTTTGTTTTGTCTGTTTTGTTAACTGCTTTATCTCCTGTATCTACAGCAGCGCTTGTGTTCAGCACTCGTTATATATGCATTGGTTTTACCCAGAAGCCACCCAGAGTGAAATGTCTAAATTGATTTAGTCCTAAGACTACAGCCATATGGAGCAATGGTTCTCAGAGTTTGAGACTGGAATCTTATCAGGTAGATGTATCCTATCATAGTGTATTGTTTGAGCTGAGTAATATTTTAAATTGTTTTAAAGCAGTTGCTAGTATTTCAAACCAGGGAGATTTCATATAAAAATATCAATGCCAACTTTTTTTTTTAAAGTTAGATCTCTCTGTATCAGGGTCTCCTTACCACTTGCACAGTGAATTGAAGTGAGTAACAGCAGCCCCTTTGGAGGTGCAAGATGTATGGCTCTCTCTCTCCTGTCTCTGCTGAGCATCAAAGCCATGGCCTTCCAAGTACTAAGCATCTTCTCTACGTCTGAGCAAAACCTCAGGCTCCATTTGCTTTTTCTAACAGACTGAGTTGACAGAAGAATCCTACTCCATCACAATCATTCTGAAAATAATAGTGGGGGATTTTTAAACTAGGAAAATAAAGAATTCCATCTGAAAATTCACCCAAAATTAAGAACTAATTCAGAAAGTATTTGTGCGAGACTGAGATGGCATCACACCTGATGAGTCCTGGGGAGACTTGTTCAAAGCTCTCTGCAAGTGGCACAGAAGGTACTGGCTGGAATAGAAATGATTCACCCTTGAGATCTTCCAGCTGATTTCTTCCTCTCAGGACTAAGGTAACTCAATTCATCATTATTCAAAATGACCACATTGCAGATTTCCAAAGAAAAGATGTTACAATTGCTGAGCCATATGCCTTGCAAGTTGGCAAACAACCAGTGCCTTGATGAGGCTAATCGAGTCCACGTGCTGCCAGCTGAGAAGGAGTCGGTAGCCACCCATCACTGTCCCCATCCTAACCACCAGCATGGAAATCCGATTTTGAATACGGATGTTAGAAAACAAGTTTAGGGCAGGGATTTCGCTCAGTGGTGCCACCTCCTGCCTCACAAGCACAAGGAGTTCCATCCCTGATACCAAAAACAAAAACAAAAACAAAAAACCAGCTAAGCCCCAAACAACATAAACAACTGATTGCGCTCACTCGCTAAAAAGGGCTCCAGTCACATGCGATGGGGAAATACTCTGGCCACCTGAGTAACGCAGTCAACATAAGAAGTGATACATGAGACCTATAAACAACTTTGGCCTAAGTGAATCTGAGCCAATTGCAAAATGATAATTAGGTTTTATTATAAGCATTTTGCTTTTAGAATCTTTTTATTTATTTACTTACTTACCTTTTTTTTTTTTTGTCACTGTGGGCAAAAATAGGACTGATGAGGGTAAAAACATCCAGTACTACTGAGTTTGATTTAGCCTAGCAATTAGATACATTTTTATAAGTGCTACTAATTGTCCCTTAAAATAAACTGGCATGCTATGAAAATGGATGTCACAGTCTAAAATTACTCATCTATTTCAAAATCTAATTCATAGTTCCACTTAAATGTTTACAGAGTATAGTAAAAAATAAGAACCATCAAAATTATAAAATGTTTAAGTATAATTTATGAGGAATTTATCATTCATGATTTAATTAAGTAGTTCTTTGCAGCTGTTCAGGTTCATTCCTGAATAAAAATATCTTGCTCTAACGGTAGTATTGAGAATCAAAAGTTTTACCACAGAGTTTGCTCTTTTTTCCTTATTTTTCCCATTAAAAAAGTGAGAAAACAAAAATTTAAGAGAGTAGAAGAGGGTGATTTTTATTGTTTCTGTTTTTGGTACCAGGGATTGAACTCGGGACCTTGTGCTTGTGAAGTAGGTGGTGGAACCACTGAGCTAAATCTCCAGCCCAAAAAAGGGTGATTTTTAAAACATGGAAAAATTAACATGCAGTCATTCACTGGATAGTAGCACTGCTCTATGTTGAAGGGTTATTACCTTGGATTGGGATTAATCTGGGGTTTCTGGTCCATAATGACTTCCCAGCCCACCATAGAATCATCGATGGCATTCATCATTCTGAAATAGGGGTCTCACTGTGTTGCCCAGGCTGGCTCTGAATTCCTGCGCTCAAATGATACCCCTGCCTGAGCTTCCTGAATAGCTGGAACTGCAGGTACACTACCTGGGAGCTTACTAAAAATATAAATGTCTCTGCAGTTTCTCATTGATTACTTTTAGGTTGAAACCTAGATATTTATATTTTGTAAGGCTTCTTGGGTGTATCTAATGATCAGTCATGTTAGGGAGGTTTTAATGTCCAGTTCCAGAGGACTTCAGAGATACTACAAGGACCTGAAATGGATCTGTTATCCTGTTGTCTTCAAACTCAGGTGAGCCTGAACCAGGCAAGACCCCTCCAGGCTGAATTGGTACTGTACTTATATTCCAATATCTCAGATTCATATGCCTAACCTGGGGTATGTGATTGTAAAGGACTTGGGAATCAGAGGACTTGAATTCTGGGCATCTTGGTTCCAACTCACTATATGAAATCAGTTTTATTTGGGGATTACATCTGTGTAATGAGGGAGGTGGGATAAATGGTCCCTAAGATAAAGACTGCACACTGATGACCCAGACCACATCCAACCTGCAGATTGATTTCACCTGAGTGAGTAAAGCTTGCAAAAGAATTCCAACTAGATTCAAAATAGGGATAGTTCACCAAAGAAAAAATACTAGATTCTCATTTTCCTTTGGAAGGTTGGAAATTCTGGGCAACAATGGGGCTCTCATTCTCACCCAGTAATTGTTGCTATGTAGAACAGTGTTTGTTCTTTTAAAAGGGTCATGGATCCTTCTCTTCTAACAGGAGTCACCCGTGTCACCCACCAGCCTGCTCCTACATTTACGGTTCCTTCTTGGCGCCTGCCAGCGTTGGAGTTATTGACTTTTGTCCCAAGGTCACTTCCAGTGCTAACATTCCTCGATTGTCTAGATTGCAGAGTCTTAAAGGGCTGGGTGGGAACTTCAAGCATGCCTGTGCCTGAGTGGACCCTCAGCGAAGGGTCCCCCTTAATTTTTGAGCCAGAAGAACCATTTATGTGGTCCTTTGAGGGGTGTATAGGAAGCCTATAAAGAAGAAGCAAGAGGCTACAGTAAAAGAATGAAAGACTGTGGTGGCTGCTCTTCAAAAATGACTCAAAGAACTGAAATGCTTATGTTCAGAAATTCCTGAGCACAGTACACCCAAGTGGGTCTTATTTAGGCTGAATGTCTGCACCAGTGGTGACGTACAAGAGAAGGACATTACTAAATGGCTAGGTTTATGCAAGTTATAATGACAGTTGTATGGCACTCAGTCCAAAATTCTTGTACCAATATAATACATTGTCTGCCTGGAATTCTTGAAAAGAAGTGGCTTTTTGGGAAACACAAATATAGGTAAACTTTTAACTTTTTCAGAAACATCTTAAGTCTCGAGGTGGGCAGTGAAAACTGGGAGACCAATGTCTGAGATGCTCT